ACTGACCGTCCTTCAAACTTCAACCTCATGCACAAATCTCGAGTTTCTCTGTTATTAGAGCTCATCAGTGGATAATGAAACTTGAATTCGACGTCACTATTGTCACCTGATGTGTGCTACAGTTATTTGATCATTTAAAATCTCATGTTGATCTCTCTTATCCTGAGTGGCACTCACGTCACATCGAATAGTTATATTCATATGTATAGACAGTCATTCCAGTACGCTTCCTGAACCAAAACTACTGGAATGATTATCATAGTCGTAGTAGTACGCACGGAACACAAACCACGCAATAGGAATGATAGTACACGAATCAGGGATTAGATGTCACTCACTGGATTACGGAATGGCACGAGCTCGTAATATCCCAAGTAAACGAGACGCGAGGAAAAGGCCACGGAAATAGTAGTACGCCGTTCGTTTATTGAAACAAATAAGGGCGATTAATTAATATGTACAAAAGATTATCGGTTATCTAGGTTTCCACCAATCGGATTGCAATACTGCTTGCCTAATCTTGCTTCTGTTTGCATTGTCTCGGATTGGCTAGCACAACCTACCTATGGCGTGTAGTCGGAAACCGTACGCGTGTCAGTGATGTCACCTTTCAGATTTGATTGATTGATTGCATGTATCCGAAAACTGTGACGCGCCGCTCCAGGGTAGGCGTCATCTCGTAGGCCTGAATTACCACAACTACTCGACGTCTTTAGATGAGCACACAAATATTCTGATTCCTATACCCCCATATCATACGTCAAAATTCCAACTGAATACATTAGTACAGTGTTGTATCTCTTTTTGGTAATGTTCATCCAAACACAAACATTATAAGGATTCTTCAATGCTGCTCGTCAGTTCCTTTTAGTCGTAATACTCAATGTCATCTTTCATGTTCCACAGCCATCATCTTCCAAGATGGATGTCTTCGAATGAACCTTTGGTTGAACACATTCGGTGCGAAATTCGGTCTCACTGAGGCCATGGATCTGGCCCGGCCAAGTGCCCTTGAAGTTCCGTTCGATCAATCGATCGTGGAACCGCGCGTCACGACAACTCTGCTCACTCCGTGTGGAAGTTTGCGTTCCGTGAATGCGCAACTGAAAACCGTGACGGCACAACTGGATGAGAGCAAAGCCAAGGAAAAACTGTTGGAAGAGCTCAAGGTCAGTGGCGATTTTATCGAATGTGCTCCGCCCCGAAAATCGCGAACAAACATTTCAGATTTGTATTAGATTAAATGAAGCTCATTTGGTAGAGCGCGCGGTGTAGAAAAGCGCAGGTGGCGTCCATGGGTCGGTTCAAATCCCACCGAGGCTACTGAACTTTTCACAATGTCGACATTAAAACCTCAATCTTCCATAAACAAAAGTTTCAATAATCATATTGCTTATATAATATGAGTAGTATTGTGAGGGGCTTGTTGAATAGTAAAGGTTTTTGCTGGGTTTTAAATTAGCAAGATTTGCATAATATTGGTTGGACATTTTGTTCTAATGATCTGTAAGGCACATCTATAAGCATCAGATATCATGTGATCTCCATTCGAACGCAATCTTTGTCAGTAATGTCTGAACCATTAGTTGTGATGTAGATAGGTAGTGGCTGAAATACGAAATTCGAACTACAAATCACAAATCACGGACGAAACTGAGGCACTGTATCAGGCTAGCACTTACACGCTGGTATCGCCCGTCGTCGAAGCACAATAAAAAGGCTACGGAAGAAACAGTTCTTCTTAATTAAAAGAAATCAGGGGGATTAAATAGCATGTACGAAGGAATTTTATTGGCTATTCAGGTATCCACCAATCGCCTGCTGATTTTCTTAACGTCAAACAGCTTCTGTTTGAACCGCACGACTTCTAATTGGCCTGTGGTTCGTTGTCCTGAAACTGTAACGCGCTGCTTCGTGGCTGGCGTTTTTCTGTAAGCTGGGATCACCATAAGAAGGGCATTTATGTGAGGGATGTACACTTCCGGGATGAGGTTTGTCTAATCCGGTGCCAACCAGGAAACATGAGGTTATATGCGAGCTCATGAAATGACGTAACTAACTTCCTGATTGTCAATTGCGCACAATGAGAGATAAATGTTTCTAATTTGACCCGAGAACGATGCACTGTAGAGGCTGCTAATCCATCCGAAAAGGTATTAGAAGATAAGAGAATACGGAAAATAACGAAAAGAAATAAATTTGTTCGTAAGCAAAGAAAAATGTTTGGACAATTACATGGGAAGAAAAAAGACTAGAGACAATTTTGATATAAAGCACAAGATTGATTATTGGGAATGCATGAATCTAATATAAAACATAGTAACAGTAATGATAATAATAATAATAATAATAATAATAATAAAGTGTACATATTAGAAGGGATGACTTCATGCATTATATCACTATGGTGTAAACTCAAATTTGGAATATTCAGCGCGCGTTATGATAGAAGCCGTCCGAATTCGATAGTCAGAAATTATTATCAGCAAGTGTTTTGATCAATAAATTCATAAAGGGGTTGCGGATTCCTGGTTAAGATTATTCCACTTCGGTATGTGTACAAGATTGTCTGATAATGGGTTTGGTTTAGACTTTCTGTTTTCCGCGTCAGTTGGAAACAAACTTATTAGTTATTCCCTTTGCATTCCACACAGCAACAAGGTAATACCAATCAACCGCTGTCTCTTTGCAACTTTGGTTTGGTTGTGTCAGTTGTATCACATGAGAACTCATTGAAAACAATCGTCAGATTTGTCATTTGTCATCGATTCTCCCAACAAGCTCGCAAATATGGGTTTTGTTATATCGTGTATATTCAAAATGAGAAACAGTCTGATCCGCTGCCCACCGATGGCCGAGTGGGCAGTATGCAAGCGTTCTACCGGCGAGGTCCCCTGTTCGTGATTCCCCTGTTGGAGTCGATGAATTTGCTCACCGTGGGGATAAGACCCAACCACGTCGAAACAACCGTGCATTCAGTGCCTCGAAGCTTTTCAGCTCACCCCTCATTTACGCGATGAATTCATCATACAAATTCTTGCATACCCTCAGTGATTACTTTACTAGGGGATAGCCGTAGCGAAATCAGTTTTGAGTAATATGAAAAGAAACGTTGTCGAATATGACACATGCTCAGACCAGAAGTGCACTGCATACCCTGAAATAGGATAGAATATCCACGAAGAGGAAGGAGTGCTCAGCATTGCATCATCACAAAATACCCTGAACACGAATGAATAATTTTTAAGTACACACCTGAGTGTGATGAACAGCAGATGGGGCGAATTCCCTGGTCACGAGGACTGCTGTTCAATGATGGAAAACGGCAACCTAAGCCCCGGGACTTGGAGTAGGGTGAACCACATAAGGCCTCACTAAGTTAGGCGTGATATTGAACCGGATGACAGCAAAGCTGCCTACCTGTGTCTATTGTCATTGCTCTCTGGTCCTAACAAGCGCATCCATGTGTGTGTCAGGATGAAAAATCCCGAACCCAATGCTTGATCACAACAATCTGTCGGCCAGAAGCGATTGGGATGAAAGGCGTTAAACCACAATCATCTAGTAAACGAACCCTAAATCGCCTCGCTTGGTCAGTCAACCTTGTTGTCTCGACCTTGGCAATGGTCCCATCTCTGATGAGTAGTATGTTTATTGTAGCAGCCACATTTGCAGACGATCCGTGGGTCGGTTAGAAAACAGTAGCGGGCAACTTGTGGGCAGGTAGACAGGCCGACAAACGATCCAAGCGTCACAAGACATCCGTATAGGTCAAGCAGGCATTTAAACAGTCAATGAATCAATCGGCGAATCAATCAACCAACCAATCCGGCCACAGGCAGGCATGACAAACGTATGAGTCAATTGTAGGCCCAAACAGTATCAAATAATGGAATGTATGTTACACTGTCCAGAATCGAAGTACTTGTACAAACAAGACTGGCGAAAGTTTGTGCTTGTACTCACCTTCTGTGATGATTAACTAATGATATTCCAGGGCGACATCTAGAGTAGCCTGCATCGCCAATATGTGATGCGATGGAAGAAATTAACCTTTCTAGGAAGGAAGAATTTGGTTCGCACTGCCTCTAGTGGTTCGGTCACATTCTGCACATGTCTGTCAATCCTTTACCTATTCGTGGTTTAGTTGTGTCTTTGTGGTTGCTTCACAAGAAATGAACATGTCACCTGGGTTAATGATCAAATGTTTACAAACAAACTATCAAGTTTAATGGTCAGATGAAAATGAAACTATCTATCTATCTATCTATCTATCTATCTATCTATCTATCTATCTATCTATCTATCCATCAATCAATCAATCTATCTATCTATCTATCTATCTATCTATCTATCTATCTATCTATCTATCTATCTACTATCTATCTATCTATCTATCTATCTATCTATCTATCTATCTATCTATCTATCTATCTATCTATCTATCTATCTATCTATCTATCTATCTATCTATCTATCTATCTATCTATCTATCTCTATCTATCTATCTATCTATCTATCTATCTATCTATCTATCTATCTATCTATCCTATCTTTTTATCTATCTATCTATCTATCTATCTATCTATCTATCTATCTATCTATCTATCTATCTAGTATCTATCTATCTATCTATCTATCTATCTATCTATCTATCTATCTATCTATCTATCTATAGAAAGTTAGATGGATTGCGTAATTAGATAACTATTAGGATGTTTGGCTGAACTAGAATTTCGGTTCTGATGGCTCTGATAGATTCATCTACCATTCGAATCATGTCCGTGAATAAAAATGTCCCGGCAATCAGAACACTTCACTCAGTCCATACACGACGTGGCCTGGTGGTAAAATGGATAGTTCGCATTCGTCCTATACGTGAGTGCCCAATTCAGATCTGGGCAAAGTTGAAAACAAATGTCCAATGTTTCCCAGCTGACCAGTTTATCTTTTCATTGTTCCATATAAAATTATCACATCAGCTTCCATTCTCTCTCCAAAATGATGTCCAAATTCCAATCAGTTTTGGAACAAATAAGATGGCTGTTCAAGGTGGATTGAGTGGACAATACTCAGTTGTGAATTTTCGGTTTTTATACCAAGGAGTTTGTGTGAACGGGAAAGTAGAAACTCCAGTTAGCATGATCATCATACACACGAAGAACATAACATATCCAGAAGTGGCTCTGAAACAAGACGACTGTCTACCTGGCATTTTCATCCAAGCGAACAGTGAACTTGAGCTATGAAATTGGGGTATTCGATATGATATATGTACGTAACCTGTTGGCCTCGATCTGTTCCACTGGCAAAGCCTAGAAGCAAAAAACAACTTGGAGTGACCAAAACAGTTCAGGCATTTCTGCACGTATATGAAAATGACCGGAATGAGTATTGTCTATTTTACAATTCAATTTGGAAAAAATCCAACACTCATTTGGTGAAAATTTACTCGCAACTGAACTCCCGTCTGATTTGGTGCTTCACAACGGGAGAATAATTCCAAACTAAAATAAACTAGTTGATTAGCTCAACTTTGGGATAAATCTATCTATTTCATTACTTTCTTGTTTTCTAGCGATTAGAAATGGGAAAAGAATTAAGACTAATTTGTATTGGCCAGATCTGATTTTCCGGCTAAAATGCGTCTAATCCAATGCATGCATGAATTCACTTTCCATTTCCGTTCCTCATCAGAATCGTTTTTTATTCCATTTTTAACTTTTTGATCTGTTCTCCGCTTGTTTTCTGTCGATCGATGAAACACTCCACAGTTTTTTTTATTGACAAAAGTTACCGCCGGGTCCCTCCCTTCCTCCCTTTCTCAATCGATCGTATTGGGATTTGAATTTCTCGTCGGAAATTGAACTATTGTTCGATTTATGCACCTCATGTAGGATGTCACGTGGTTTACAATGTGAGCACTATTCAGTTTTTAATCTGGCGTGTTATGCGGTCATGATTACTGATTCTTGAGATATCACTTCAAACGAGGGGATATGATTTGCTTGGAGCTTCTAATCGATTGATACACCGCATCAGAAAGAAATAAACATCGAAAGACGAAGCAACTGACCACGATCCGATTCTGGACTCGGTGATGAAACAACTCTGAACTCTTTTTGACCGACAGTGACTGTCGATTTGCACACAGATGCATCTTTTCAACTATCTAATGGATCAATATGCCTGAAAAATATTGGATGCAGTTTGAATTTATATCTGTTTTATGTGATAA